TTTTGAAAAAAATTCTCGATGCGGTATTTAATTTTCCCTAAACTCAGTAATAAACTTTTTTTTTTTCTCATATATTAGCGAATGCGATTACAGGGGCGGCGCCGGCGGGAGAACGACTTGGGCTTTCAAGCCCAGTTATATAATAAATGGTACCCCCTTTGAAAATCTTTTTATTAAAATGTAAATGATTTTTTTTTTTATTTGCTGGAATATGATCACTCTTTTTCCCCATATTTCTTGTTTCCCTACCTACCTCACTAAAATTATTATGTTCCATAGAAGGAAAAAATATTGGTATTCTATGGTTTGGTTGTTTTGAACAATTTTAATAACATATTACAATTATAAATTTATAGTTTTATATAACATTATAACTGTATCACTGTTGGTTATCATTTAAATTATTTACAAATAATAATGAATATTTGATATTTGATATTTGTTGGGTCAAATACATGAATTGCTTCTCAATATTTTTGAGTTAAAGTAAGTATTTAATAAAAAAGGAGAAGTAAATTACCATTTAAAAATTTTGTTTTAAAGAAATCAACTAAATTTAAGCATTGATATCAAATTCCTGTTAGATTTCAAAAACAATTGCTTAATAAAAAAATAATTATATTGACATTAATCATTAAATTTCAACCAATTTCTTTTAAAATGAAATTTTAAGATGATAACTTGCTTTTTCTTTTTTTTTTTTTAGTGCTAATTTACTTTGACAAAAAGATATTAAAGGACAATTTGCACTACCTATTTATTGTTTATAATTTAAATATTATCAGTGGTTAAATATTGCCTATTAGGTTCAGCAAAACCAATCTCAGCTAAACCAATCAAACCCAACATCTCTCAATATTTCAGTGATATTTAGTTCTCAGCCACACATTATGGCGTACCTAAACATCCAAGATGTTATTTTCAGCTAACCAAAGTGAGGGTCAGAAGTTATTTTCCTTTGCAAATTGCATAAACATTTGCAGATTAAATCAAGAAATCAATACATACTACTTATTGAGGAAAGTTTTCTTCAACATCAAATATAACAATTCTTAACAACCCAGAAGGGTCCAAACGAAAACACTGATATATAAAGATGTTTTGATGGTCCATCAGAGGGAGAAAACACAGAATATATATTCAAAAATTAATTGGTCCATGACAGTTCCTTTTATTATGGCCAAATCGCCCACAGCGAGCACATCGGTTATTTCCAGGGATGCCCTTAATGACAACCCCTCTGAGGCTGCCAGGACCCTTCTTCTTAGCATTGGGGACCTGGAAATTTAACAAGAAAGATCGTGTGAATGGTGGCTAACAGGCCAGTTTGGAGAATGCTTTAGGAGATTATGGAGCAATAGAAAATGCAGCATGCCTTTAAGTAGCAAATTGGATAAGGACAATGCATACAGCGGTGGCCTATCTCTTGGCATCTTGTACATCGCGCTGTCAGTTCATCCTTTGTCAGGATGTTCCTCCACCTCTGTTCTTTCCAGGGGCGTTTATGCTCTGGAATCCGTCCTTCTGAAGAGAAGCCCTGCAACAAGTAAAAAAGAGTGCAAAATGAAGGTGGAAAAATATCAAATAACCAAGTGGAAATGACAATGCCAGAGCATAACAAGTTAGAACTCACCACTTCAGGAACTTTGCCCTTTCTTGCATTAGCAAATTTGGTTTCAGTTTGAAGATTAGCGGACTACAACAACCACAAGGTAAAAATTTGAGTTACTGGCAAGATGGGTGATTGGAAAAGAAGCTTCTGTGTTTCAACACTGAAAGAGACAGTTCTCAACAACATATTGGTCACCCTTGCAAAGGTCTAGGGGTGTGGGAGAATATTAACTAAAATAAAAAATGCTGAGGATCTGCCTTTGGAATTTTGAACCTAAAAGGGTTGATATTTAGGAAAGAATCAAAGTTGAAGTCACCCATGCATTTATCTCTTAATCTATATAACTAGCAGGCAGCTTGACAGGGAATTAAAGAGAAACAAATGCCGGTTTTCCTCAAACCAAACATACTATTAAGCTTTGCTAAGGTTTCATTCTTTACCCTATTTCAAGGACCATCACCCTCACCTATCCAGTTTCTATTACCATCACCATCACTAGGTTCTTAATCCCTTTATTAAACATCAGAAGAAGAACAAGGCATCATTCCATCAACCATTAGTAGTATTCAAGTTAATAGCAGGAGTTAATGAATTTGAAAGACAAAGGGGAGAAATTCAAGATATGATGTTATCTAAACAATGAGACCTTATTAGATTCTCATTTGTCATACGTCACTGAACTTAAGCCAATAATGGGAATTTATTGACGAGAAATAATCAGCCACAAGCAAATGCTACTTTCACATAAACTAAACACGTGTCATTGACGATCCAAGCAGCAACAACTTTACAGGTAGACTATCTACTAAAGAACAATACCCTTTGACAGGGATTAAACACATATAACTGAACTACTGGTTGAATGTCCTTTAACGACCAAGACTGTTCCCAAACCTTCCTTGAAATTTATTTTATACCCTTTTAAAATTAAATGCATCTCAATAATTCTAATCATAGCAACAGGACACATGCTGTATTTAAAGAACAAGATTTATGATGGAGCACATTAAGCTATATACCATGCAGTCCAACTTAGACAAACAAGATCACCATGCACTACAAACTTCTAACAAATTTCTTACAGATTTAAGAACAGAAATTATTTTGGAATTGCATTACCTGACACCAAATTTTCAGAGCTAAGACTGTAAAATTTGAAGCACTCAGACACTAAACTCAAAGAATCTGCTAAAATTATTAAGCGATATATGTTCAATGATTTCATGAATATAAGGTTCAGGAAATCTAGTTTTCTTATATAGATCAGAATACAATGATCTAACAAGTTAAGCAACAGAATTGACACGTTAAAGGAATACTTACAAAGGGATAAAATTGCACTTCGCTCTTAACAGCGCCTTCAAAGGTGACATATCAAGCACATACAAGAGAATATTAAATAGCTATTGAGACAGTAATTATCAAAGCAATCAAATGATATTCTCAAAACACACACAGAGAGACAAGGGCATCCCTTCTCAAGACAGTACCAAGAAAAACGAAAAACGAAAAACGAAAAACGAAAAACGAAATGCAAGATTACCTGAACTTGAACACCATCTTCATGAGACTCAAGAACCCCTCCTTGAGCCAACTCCCCTTGAAGCTTCCCACCATCAGCCATTGTCAAAAGCAATCAGCTTCCTTTTCTTCTCTGACTGTAAACCTCGAGCTCTATCAATGGCCAAATTTACAAGGGGATTAAAAGGGGGAGGAGGTGGGGAGAAAAGGGTCGCTGAAAGACCACGTGTTGGCTTCATGGTAGAGTATTAAAACATAGAATCCTCAAAAACAGCAAGAAATTGATGGTTTCTGAGGAGGGTTTTGGAGCTGGGTTGGCATAATAAATGAGACAAATTGGAGTAAAGGCTGATGAGTTGTGTTAGCAATTAGGGGGGGAATGGAAAAGTTTTGAGCTTTCGGCATCTTTGGTAAGGTGGCGGGCGACGCGACGTTGTGAAGATGGAGGAGATTGATTGGGAAAAAACCAGCCGTTACTGAATTTGAAAACCCTCGGTGAGGGAAGGTTGAGACGACAACGTTTTGAAAGCTTTAGCCTATGACTGATAATTGAGGCGTAAAAAAAAAAAAAAAAAAAAAAACTTCCATTCAAAAATTGAAATAATTATTTACAAGGATTAGGTAGGTTGGTAACATTTGAGGTATATATTCTTATGCGGCTATTAACATTTTTCTTCTATTTTTGTTTCACTCTTTTCAGTTAGATTAAATTATAATTTTTTCAGTTAAATTAAATTCTAAAAATTAAAAAACATATAATAAGAGAAAATCCTTTCACTCTTCTTTTAACTCTTTGTTAACCCAAAAAGAAAAGTTTTACTCCTCCTTTTCCTGAAATCAAATAAAGTATGAACATTTTTAGCTCTAAATAAATAAATAAAACAATCTATTTTGCCTTATAATTTTCTTGAAAATCATGTTTCTAAAGGGTTTGAATTTGATCTTTGATTCTTTTTTTTTTTTTTTTTGATATATTAAAGAGTTAACTACTTTTATTAGTTAAATTTTTTTGACCAAGAGTAATTATAAGAGAAAAGGAAAAATGAATCACTTCCTGGGTGGAAGTAGCACCAATGATTTATAAATATAATAAATGTAAATATTCAAATAATAAGCGAGAGTTAAATTCTTGACCAATCTTATTCAAATATTAAAACTTAGAGATGAATTATTAAATTCTGAAGTTTCTAATTCTTTTATTAGTTAAATTTGATCTTTGATATCCGGTGATTTATGCAGCACAGTTCCCCTTTTTCATTCTTGAGAAATATAAAGAGAAGGACAAATAATCACGTGTCAAAGACTGGACTCCATGGCTTATGCTTTGCACTTAATTGATATGTATAGTTTCATACAGAAATTACAATCGTGAAATCTTGCCATCCCTAAGCTGCCTTTGGCAATGCGTAAATACCAGGCATCATATCCTTCTTCCTACTAGATCCCGAATGTACATGGAAGAATATTTCAACCCCTAGCCTTCATGGGGCTACGTCTTGAGCTTCCTATCCCAACAGGGGCTGCCCACCCTAGCTCTCTACATTGCTCTTCATCAGGTTGCAAGGTCCCTGGAATTGCACCAAATGCTCTTCTGGTAGTTTCAAATCCAGAAACTACATAATGCAAGCATGCAGAAGCATCCTCTATATTCTTCTGCAGGTTTTTTGATGCAGATGCAAAGTTCTTTGATGGTATATTCTCTATTTTTCTCTCCAAAGCCTGGTCCAGCTCAGCAGCCCTAAGAAACCGCTCTGTGGCAGCCTCCCAAGATAGCTCATGTCTCTGTGCATCAGTCAATGGTGCTGGCGTTTCGGCAAGAGCCTTACGTGTGGCTTCAACAAAACCTTTGCCGTTATTGTATGTTCGACAATTTGGGAATTGCTTGAAGAATTCATTTGAGGGGTGATTGGCACATACAACAATTTTGCCCATAGCCAATGCTTCAGCTGTGGCTGTGCAAACAACATCTGTGGTGCTTGGATTCAAGAACACATTATAACTGGAAGGAGATCAAGAAAAATTTGTATCTTTTAATTTCAACCCTATTAATCAGCTTCAGAAAGAGGAAATATAAAATAACAAAGCATCCTATTTTCACCAGATTATCATCTGCAAGTATAACCATAAATGAGCAAATAGCAACTGTTTTGGCAGATTATATATGAAGGCCCATCACAAGAATATTCTCATGACTTGAATTACCAAGCACAATAAGTTAACGGTAAACTTAAAAAATGGCTTTCAACCATTTACTTCAACATACAAACCCTTTCCCCACCACCCCCCAAAAAAAAAAAAAAATCTCCATTCTTCTCCACCTTTCAACAAAAAGAAGTTCCCTTCGAACAAGCTAAGTTGGATTGGCTTACACTTCCTCCAAAGTTGAACAAAACCCAACCAAGCACAAATGAGTTAAAGAGATGAACAAAAATTCCCAAGTTAACAGGTTGAAAGAAACAGGTAAGCATCCTCAATTTTCATTGGAAGATATCATAATTCATAAGAGAGAACATGACGAGATATATGGGCCTTACTCATGGAATAAAGGGTCAGCATGATCACAACCTGGATGGACTCTAACCATTACTTCCAATTTTTTTGCAGCTTCCTTAACCTCATCTGAATCCTGTCCACTTCCATACAAATCAACTTCAAGACCAGCTAGTTCCTTTCGGTGATCCTGCAAAAGTTTTAGTAACTCCTTGTAACCTTTGCTCCACACCATCTTCCCAATGTAGTAAGCACCTTTTGCAAAGAGCTGATTACCACTTTGTAGCTGCTCATACTTTTTCTTCCCAGTATCAAGAAATTTAGGATTAACACCATGAACATTGCAGACGATGGATCCCGGGTAATCCTGTGTTGCAGCAGATAGCCTAATTACCTGCAATTCACATTGTGATCATAATTTGCCAAGCACCACACTTTTAATTACTCATACACATAAAGATGCAAAATTTTTCAACAGTACGCATATCTTAGTTCCTTAAGAGAAATAAAGCCAACAGCAACATTCAGTTGTTCATTCTAAGTAGTTGCAAGTAAAGCTAACAATTATTGGGAAATATACCTTATGACAGTAGATACTAACAACCCAAGTATTTACATATTTGAGAAAAAATGCCTGAAACCATCCATTTTTCTCTCTCTTCACATATTCCAAGTAATTAGTGTGTATAACTCCGACAACAAGGCGGAATTTAGATTTCCATCTCTTCCCATGGTGATACCATGTAAGATGCTCAGGCTCCTCAAGGACAGCCACATCCGCCTCTTCATCAGGGATGATATCAGAGATGTCTCCAGCAGGAAGAATGCTTCCCTTATCATTGGCAAACTGCAGCGTAAGTAATGTCATGAATGAAAACTAGCAGAAAAATAAGGTGGTTTAGATTGTTTAACCCAATTACTGATTTGAGCCTAAACTGAGTTAGGTTCTCATTTAATTCA